CGGCCAACATCTGAAAGATATAATCTTCAAATTTACTGCGAAATATTTATTCTGTCTCCTATACACATCTAGATGTGTATAAGAGACAGTTTCTCAGCAGGAAAAAGTATAACGGTGCCACACGATCTTGGTGGCCAATTGACCGACCCAAAATATGAAATTATCTGCTCACCGAAGTGTTCTCTCAATAAATACATTGATTAATGTGATGTGAGAGAGGTGGCGCCCACTTGTAGAAATCAAATGTCGCCGAGATCACATGCTACCAGATGATGATGATTCCACCGAACAAACCTCACCAAACAGTTGTTCGTTCTGGATGAAATGGCGGCTCCTAAACCTTTTCAGTTTGCTATTCGTCACAAATGCGGCAATTTAGCTTATTTACATACCCTTTGAGCCAGAAATGGTCTTCATCGTTGAACAAAATTTGGCTCGAAAACGTCGGATCTTCTTGGAACTTTTGAAGAACGAAACGATATTGCTTGGAAAGGTCGAGCGACTTCAGTTCTTGCACAAGCTGTATTTTTTACGCTTCCAATTAAAAACCTCTCTTGAATGCTGGGTCCCAAGATGGGTGATAGTGTTGCTATAGTATAGTTTTATGTTACCCATAAATTGAGCGAAACGAAACGAAAAACGTATCTCTTTTGGATCACCCAGTAGCATGCCCAGATGCCGTTAGAACAAGCCACATACGAGCAAATGACGCCTGCCAAATGAGCTGTCACGTAAGACAACCAGACGCCAGCGCCTACAATGGACGCACAGGGACATTTGCAATTTGCAAATGATTGCTCTTATTGTTTTTATACCAAATTGAATTATTAAAAATTGCAAATATAATATTTTTTTCATTAAATTATATACTTAGTTATTTTTATTGCACTCGCTGCCATTCGTTTGATTGTTATTGCATTTAGCATTACCACTTCCGCTCATATAAATTATTCGCAACGCTGTGTGTTTCGGTATGTCAGTGCATAAGCATCCCTACAAACAAACWTACACGATATGGTGGTCTTTATATGTATATGTCCATACATACACATATGTACGCGAATATTTGAGCAGATTTGAACAGAGACGCTTGTTTGCAATGCGCTGTTGATTCGGCCACTTGACGTTGAGTAGTGATGGGAGCACGCTTCGTATATATGTACATATCTATGTGTATACATGTTTGAAATAAATATTTAATTTTATTTGTTCAAAATTTGTAGAAAAATGTAGTTTTCCTCGTGTGAGGCCCGCAAACTAACAAAAATACTTACACACATATATATATGTACATATATGCGCGAACACAAATCTTATACTCACTTACATGTAATACATACATACACGCGACACAAATGTCTGAATGTGTTTACCCAACTGATAGTCGTGAGRGCATTAAAACGTGACGTTGTGCTTTTATTGGCCACAACTAGACTTTATGGCGCTACAGCGTGTCTCCACACGGTCGTTGCATTCACCGCACAAAGGCAAAGATGCTAATAAATTAACAATAAATGTGTGAAGTAGGCGCAATTAACACATGCGAAACGGAAATGCTTTAAATTGTGACGATTAAGTGGGGATGATCTCGAAATATTGAATGAAAATAAACGAAACGAAATYTCGAGTACGAAAATGGTAAAGATGGTAAACTGTTCTTTTAGCAGCTGATCATTTGTTAAGTGTGTGTTTACATACATATGTATGTATACTTATATGTACATACGACAAAATGAAGGGAGAGTAGTCTAAGTAACCAATTWTATTCAGAACTACACACCGCCATTCTGCAACAGCCTCCGAATAACAACACAAACAAGAGAGTAGTTTTAACTTATTATGAAAACTTTGTTTTAGTCGGTCAGTTTGTGTGACAACTGTAAGAATTTCGAAGATTTGCTACCTTAAAAAATATTGCACATCAAATATATGAGATCGGAAGTTCGCAAAGCAGCAACWGTTCAAGGAAAAAAGATTGTCGGCGAAATTTCAGATCGATGTATCAAAAACTAAGAGACTGGTTCGCATATATGTATATAAACGAACTGCCAGACGAGCATTGCTCAGCTCATCACGCTGGTCATTTATACATACATATATGTATACAGGGTTTGTACGGAAAGTAAGAGGAGGGCGTTCCTAGGTAAAGAATGAGCGGCTGGTCAGTTGTCTCCCAACACCTAGAGAGTCAGTGAGTTGTMCAAGTCGAAAATTTAGCATTCATTAGAACAAAGGTACGCGATTGAATTCTGTGTGTAACTCGGTAAATCTGCGACAAAGACGTTTGATATGATCAAACAGGCTTCCCCAGATGTTGGTTTAGCAAGAAGTGGTGTGCTTCGGTGCACCAAGCCTCTTTGGAGGGCCGGGAAGCGGTCGCTGATGAATGGGCAAATCCAAAGTGAAAACGAAACTCATTGTCTTTTTTGTCCTCCTGGACAAACCGTCAACGCCAAGTTTTGCGTGAAAGTCCTCAAGAGACTCAAACGAAGGGTCAATCGGGTCCGACAATAAATCGCAGCCGTTTGGAAGTTGCATCACGACAACGCCCCGGCTCACACCGCATTTCTTGCGAACGGCTAACATGCCTAACCAAGGCAGTTATCCCAATGTTTCCGCAGCCGCCCTACAGCYCAGWTGTRGYCCCCSCMMYWTTTTYSKTTYCYTWMCYKRAAARGSC